ATAATATATATTTTATAAAATATAACAACTCATTTATTCTGGTAGTAGAAGTACAAGACAATCCATTGTGGTGCAGGAAGAAAGTGGTTTTTTGTACCATTAATAAATATCTAAAAACTACCACTGGTTATCTTTATCCCATCCTTTTAAAATTTCTATTTCTGTGTATGTTTTATAATGTATACTACTACAGTAGTACATGTACATTTATACATAAATATACATATATTAGGGATGCATACTCAGGGTTGTGTGATCAAAAAAGTTTGGAGACCACTGATTTGAGACCACATCAACTATTAGTAAACAGAACTAAATACAGCAATCAGGAAGGGAAGAAGTTTAAAAAGCTTTTCTTCACAGTTGCAGTTTTGCCCAGCACTATGAAATCTGGTGGCAACTGTTACTCTGTTACTGTACTGATGCTGCGGCTTCCAAACATACGTGTTACTCAGAAAAAAATTAAATACAGATTTCTTCCACTGTATGTCACTTCAGCATTAATTCATTCTGAAGCTTCCTAACTTAAAAAGTTATTGAGCAACTTATAAGAAATATGCATATTCAAATGACCTTTCCAATGATATCCCCAACACATCTTAAATTTTGTTCCTCTTCTATCTATATGTTATTTTACTCACAACCAATGAGAATGAACCAACGAGCCATATGAAGATGCAATATAAAGTTGGGCTCAAAAAAATTGTAGAAAAAAGATTTAGTACTTATAATTAACTCAGCTACTTTACAGAAGGATAGTACTACATGTAGTGCCCACAATGAAGCTTCTCAGTATCTCTCTAAATATTCCATAAAGTTCAATATATGTAGTACATCACCACTATTTTAAACCTACTTTTATTATGATCTCGCAGTTGTTTCCAGTACCAAAGCACATTCAAATTAGCCTCTATCAAATCACTTGTGTTTCAGAGACTATGAAATAAATGGTTAATGAACACTCACCGTTGCTATTTTTTCAATATATGTCTTCATAGTTTTCACAATAACTTTTCTGTCCTATCCAAAAGAAAACAAGAAACTCGAATGAGCCTATAATGGCAGTCATTCTGAAAAACTAAATTGTTATTTACACCTCCAAAAAGATAAACTTCAATTTGCTTACTAAAGCAAAGGCTATTTACCAAAGTCTCACATTTGTCAACACCTAGAAACAATGTGAAGAGTTAAACCTGAACTGTGAAAGACTCAATCCCAGGGAGTTCTGTGATATGTTTACAAGACCAGCCCACCAACGGGAGATGCCAAAAAGGGCAGCTTGGGGAAAAAAAACCCCAAAACCCAAACCACCACCTATGTTCACCTATATCTTGCTCATTACTTACAGAAGAAGAATGCTCTTCAACTCTTCATTTGCAAAGAAACTTATTCAACAGGACTTGAAACTTTAAAGTATCAAGGAGTCTAACCTGTTGCAAAACCCCTTTACTAGCAAGATTTTTTTGGCAGAAAGTTTCCTCAGTGCTTGTACTTTCAGCTCTTGCAACCACTGCTCAGTCTTCTTTAGACCCATTACCACCCCCCAGATCCTAGCAACTTCCTATTTTTTTCTGCACTCTTTAAGAAGCAGAAGTCATAAGTCGCCTTTTTTTTTTTTAATACAGAAAAAGATAGGAAGCATTACAGTATTTCCAAAAGACGATGACATATGTTACATCTGAAGTATTTCAGGATACTGTATCAGCAGAAGAAACTAAACCACAGTTGCTATTACATTTTCTAAGTCTTGGCATTCCAAAGCCAAACATCGTTCCATATTATGACTTCTTTACTGTCCTCTCCCTACTGCCAATTTCACCTGCATTAAGAAATCTATGGGATGAATGAATGGCCAATAATCTTAAAATGGAAAAGCTTTATGTGTCATCTCCAAGAACTCTGCTAAAAATAAAAGGAGATGCTTCCACCATAAAAGTTCTAATGAAAGCATTTGATTCACAAAAAACTACTGCTTATATTTGCCAATAGGTAAAGTGGGGCCACTCTCAAATACTTAACTGCATCAAAATGTGCACTGGCAGAAGGATCCATGTGAGCAATGACACTCACAGTCTCAGACTAGACTATTATTAAAGAAGACTGGGTAGACAGAAACCAAGCAATACCTTGGGAGTACCATGCCATAAGCAGTGCATCGCTACTCGGGCTCCGTCATGAGTGTGTGCCAGGTAGATGACAGCCTCTCTGATAGCTTCTATCATTTCCTGGAGAAGAAAAGGTGATAAAGCAAAAAGGTGAAAGAAAAGGCCTGAGAAATCTCAAGACAGATGGGCGAGGGCATGAAAGAATTTTTTGTCTGCCCACACCACTATAGAGAGCATCACTGGCTCTACAGAACCACTCTCGCTGCCTTGACGTATGAAAAACAGCCTCAAAAGGAGTCCAAAAGACTGTAAATGACATAGGCTTTCTCCCTTCAAAACTACCCTGTTCATCATATTCATCCTATGAAATCAGAACCTCATTGAAGCTTGTCAGTTGTCCTATTACAGACAATTCAAGGAAGGGTGCTCAGAACCGAGACTAACATTAGAGGAGGCAAAGACAACCATTCATTTAGGAAGAAAATCTTTGAAGGTGATGCAATTTATTCATACATACAGGCTATTAGCCAGAAAGCAAGAAGAACTAAAAGGTCACTTAAGTACCAGGTGATGTTATAATCTGATATTATCTGACATGAAGCTCCCACCTATCTCCCTGTCTAGCCCTAGCTTCTTCTCACTCCCTACTCAAAGGTTCCAAGCATTTTACCATTTATCTAGAAACTGCTCAGTCACAACATGATTGGTGCCACTAGCTGTATGCACAGGCAGGAACAAATTTACAAAAGGGATTTCCAAACCCCGAAGAGAATACCCATATGCTACCATGTCTGCACAAAAAGCCAAGCAAGGAGGAAGAGATATGCCCTTATTCCCCTGATTCACACAAGACTGTGAATCCAGAAGCATTCTCTGACAAAGCATTACAGGAAACCATGCACAATTAGGGAAGATCTGGACTCAGAATAGGCCACGAATGGTCCACCCCACTACCCTTAGCTTCGGGTTTGTTAACAGTAACAAAGAAGAGTTCAGGAGTGGAGTCCAGCAGGTGAGAGACAACAAGTCTAGAAGGCTCCACCTGGCCTGGAGTAAGATGGTGCTGAACCAGGGCGAGGTTCATGGACACAGCTTGAAGACAGGCGAAGTCAAGCAGGATACCAGCTTATACAATGTCACATCACGCAGATGGATTTATACCTAGTTTTTGCAAGAATGGCTGGGGTAACCTTAAAACTGGAATTTAATATAGACATAGTGTTACAAGCCATATGCTTGGTTCAGGAAGAGGCAGAAGACAAAGTTTTGGCTGCTGACAGAAGGGCCCAATCTGATTGTATTTTGTTCAAGAGTTTTTTGGACAATGGCTACAAGAGGTTAAGAAACTACACAATGGAAAGCTATATTACTGGAAGCAATGTCCCTGGCTTTAATTATTCTCCAGCTATTGAGAAGGACCATTTAGCATGGAGAGAGAAAACATCAAACTCATTCCATTAGATTTTTTTTTTTTTTTTAATTCAAATGTCACAAACACTATTGCTTTAGAGTGGAAGTTCACTGTGACTGTAAACCTCCATACAACATTACATCCCAATCATCTATCTGAAATCGTCAAATGTGTAAAACTATAAATTTAAGATGTGCATTTTTGTCTAGTTACCTTACAACACTTTCACGACAAGATTAAAAATATTGCACTGAAAGGCAAAAGAAGACAAAAACCAAACAAAAC